GGGCTCCAACAGGCTTTGTGGGGGATGCGGGGCAGGCTGAGCCCTGGAGTTTGTGGAGATGGCCTGTCCAAGGCCACGCTGCAAGGTGGGAGTTCTGGCAGGGACAGGCCCTTTGTCCAGTGTGGTTTGTCGCGGGGTTGCCCCTCCAGAACTGGTGTGAGGATGGGGTGTGACTGGCTGGGGTGTGTCACTGCACCCAGTGTTGGGGCATGAGTCTGCCACCCCCCTCCCCTTGCCCTCCGTGCAGCTCCGGGGTCTCCCAGACCGTCTGACCTGGGCTTTCACTCGTGTTCAGGCTTGTGGTGCGTCTGAGTTTCCAGGTAGTTTCATACCCTCTTGAAGGCTGCTGCCCCTTCACCGAGTTTCACTCGCGTGTGCTGGGAGGCCAGCTGCCTACGGGCCTCTGTTTCCACCCCAGCCATGGACATGGGCTCCATGCTTGCTCTGCTGTACTTAACTAGGGCTCAACCAAGTGCCAATCCACGTGTGGCCCCCAGGCCTGTCCCCAAGGCACTCGGCTTCTCGCCCTGGTTTGCTGAGGGCGAGGCTGGGTGAGCTGGTGGATGGGAGGGTGTCCCGCTCGAGGGCCACCTGGAGTTAGGAAACCATGTCTGCTCCAGACAAGGGAGCAGACCCTCCCCACTGTGCACCCCTGGGAGCAAAGGGGACTTGACCTGCAGATGTGTGTCTTGTGCTTGGACTTGAAAAGGATGGGGTCTCTGGCGCCCTGCTGCTCCCTCTGTCCTGGCCACTCCACCAGGGTCCATCATCTGGTCTTGTGTCACAGGTCTGGAGGTGGGAGGATTTCAGGTGGAGACATGTGGCAGAGTGCAGTGTGGAGCCCAGGGGCCCGGCCTCCGAGGGCAGCTTCCCTCTCCTGTGTCTGACCCACACACTCGTCTTCTGCCCCTCCACTCCATGTCCACAAACTCCAGACGTGCTCGGTTCCTAGAACGCGCACTATGAACCCGAAACACAGGACTTGTGAAGGTCTTTCCTGCAGCACAGCTATCCCCAGAGCAAAAGGTGATGTCAGCACTCTCCATGTGTTCATTGAGCATTTCCAGCAAACGGCCAGAGGCCCATGGCCCTGGTGAGCCCCTTGCCCCTCCCCCCAGCCCACCCCTTGCTGCCTGCAGGCCTCTTTCCAGGGCTACCAAATGGGGCTGTCCTGGCCACACACCCCCTTCCAGGGGTGCAGAGGCCTCAGTGAGGTGGCCTCAGGGCTCTGGCTCCTGCCCCTGCCCATGCCGGGTGGCCTCAGGGCCACTGCCCCTCACCTTGGAAGGCGAGATGAGTTTTCCCAGTTCTTTGCAGCACACAGAAGGCCGCCCTCACTCTGCCTGCTTGTCCCTGAAGATGAGCCAGTTTGAGATGCTACTTCAGACCTGCGGGTGGAGGTCTGTGGCGGGACCTCTCTCTCTTTCTCTCTCTCTCTCTCTCTTTGGGGGGAGGTCAGTCGTGGGGCTTGAACTCTGGCTCTGGGCACTGTCCCTCAGCTCTTCAGCTCATGGCAAGCGCTCTACCACTGGAGCCACAGCACCACTTCTGGTTTTCTGGTGGTTCACTAGAGATAAGAGTCTCATGGACTTTCCTGTCCGGCTAGCCTTGAACTGCGATCCTCAGGTCTCAGCCTCCTGAGTAGCTGACAGGCATGAGCCACTGGCGTCTGGCATAGGGGAATCTTCTCTTGAAGAATACCAGGCTTTCTGCTTTGGCCTGAGTGTTGATGATCGATAGCTGGTCTGAGTGCCCCCTCCCCCTTCCTTCCTCCCCCAGGGTTCTGGAAGGGACCTTGCAGCTGGCTCCTTCCCGGGCTGTCCTTGTGTCCTCTTCATTACCTTACTGGGGTCCTCCCACTCTGCGGTTCCCTGTACAAGGAGCCTGGACTGGGGAGACATGAGGCTCTCGGCCTGAGCTCTGCCCCATCCCTGTCTTCCCACTCTCCCAGCACGGCCAGAGGTGAGGGCACTGGGGAGGGTCCAAGCCCGCTGGCTCACATGCATGCCGGCGAGGAGAGGGGCTTGCACGGGGCCTGGTCTTTTTCTTTCTTCCTGTTTTCTTTTTTTGTCAGTCGTGGGGCCTGAACTGTGGTCCTGGGCGCTTTTCCTCAGCTCTTCCGCTCAAGGTTAGCACTCTACCACTTGAGCCACAGCGCCACTTCCAGCTTTTTCTGCTTATGTGGTGCTAAGGAATGGAACCCAGGGCTCAGGCATGTGAGACAAGCACTCTGCCACTGAGCCACCTTCCCAGCCCCACCTGGTGTTTTTCTCCATGTAGGGGAGACCAGGAGGGTCACACCTGCCAGGAAAGCACCATGCTGGCAAGGAGTGAATGTCCTGTGTGCCCTGTCACCCCCCCCCATCACCTGAGGCTACTGTAGGGGTGGAGTTAGGGTTCCACTGCAAACACTTGTCTTGTGCTGTGATCTGTTTTAGCTTCCCCGGGGAAGGCACCAAGACTTGTCTATCTTGTGCCCACATTGCCTGGTTTGCTGTGTGCTGTTCTGGTCGGTTGCAGGTTATGGTGTCTTGTGGCTCAAGGTCAGGCCAGGCTTTCGGTGGGGGCGTCTGCTCCCCAGACTTCCACTCTGAGGTGCTGTGCAGATGCTTGCCTCAGCCCTTCCTGCTCTCTGCTGCCCTCCGCGCTGGCCCTGGGCAGCTGGGCTCTCCCATCAGAAAAGGGGCCTCCTGAGCGCTCACCCCACCTCTGCTCTCTGCCCGGGCCTTCCAATGTGGAGGTTCTGGGTGTAAGGGGCCTCTACTGTGGGGGGTCGTGGTTCTGGGGTGCAAGGGACCTCTACAGGGTGGGGGAGGGTCGTGGTCACCTTGGTCTACAGCCTTAGACTTTCTCCAGTGTCCTCACCTCTAACCAGTTTCAGCCCTGAGTCCCTGGATCCTTGCAGGCTGGCTGTGCTGGAGGGCAGAGGGACACATGCAGGAGGGCCTCCCCTCCTGGTCACAGTGGGCTGTGTGGCATGGCCCGTGGGAAGCGGAGGGGCAGGCTTTGGGCTGGCAGAAGGCAGGGCTGAGCTCACCATCCACTACAGCCTAAGATTGCTCAGAGTCCCAGTGGGGAGTTCTAGAAGGTTCCAAGAGGCCTGGGCAGGGGGAAGTCAGCCATCCACTAGCTCCTGCAGAAGGGTGGGGCCCAGGCCCCCTAGGGACTGTGTGCAGTGTAGAGTCAGGAGGAGCCCTGGAGGATTTGGGGCCCAGAAGAGATTTGATGGGGCACGTTAACAGGACCCGGGCCGCTGTCCAGGGCTGTGCTTTCCTGGGGTTCCTGTGAGAGGGGGTGGCCGGGGAAGGTACTGCTGGGCAGGATTGCTGGCCTGGCAGGGCTGGGACTGGAAAGAGGTCCCATGAATGACAGCCGCCTGGTGTCCATGTGGCCTTTGGCCTGGAGAGGAGGCGGCGGCCCCATGGCTATTGGCTGCCCGGGGGGCCCTGCACTCTGGGTGGGAAGGGGTGCCTGCGGGGGTGGGGGGAGGGGGAGAAGCAGACTTCAGGCACTTGGGGAGCTGCAGTCCAGTCCACATGGGGTCCCCGGTGCACAAGAGTGCTACTGAGGTGGGGCAGGCAGGCAGGGTGCTTGTCTGCTGTGACTTGGCGGTACGGGTTTGGAGACCCTTTCTGCACTGGGCTGGGCTAAGCTGGGCAGAAGCAAACCTCCAGAGACCAGGTGCTAACCAGTGTTTTAACATCCAGCTTTCTGGAGGTTCTGGAAGAGCCCGTGACTTAGGGCGTTGGTCAACTTCTGGGGTACACATATGCCCACCCCTTCAGATTACAGGGCCCACAGGGTAGCAACCATCCCACAAAACGCTTCAGTCTTATGTGTGGCTAGAGACAGTGGCCAGTAGCAACTGCTCCCTCTCTGGAAGCTGTCTTGCGCCCCAAATACTGTAAATACAAGCACAGGAAAGCCCAGATGACGTCCACCAATGAGGTGCAGTCCTTGGCTGCCCTCAAGATGGCCCCTGTGTGTAGCGTGCAGTTAGTTCCAGGTCTCTGAGCAGAAATGGGATCACAGTGCACATGCTGCTGCCCAGCTTCCTGCACAGGAGAGGGAGGGCTTTGAATGTAGCGGTAGCCTGCACAGTACTCAGATACACAGTATCCCACTGCACAGTGTCCGGGTCGCCTAGTACTCCTGCTGCTCGGCACCCTCTTGCTCGACAACCCTGTTGCATAGTACTCCCACTGCACAGTACCTTTTGTGCATAGTGCCCTTGTTGCACAGTACTCCTCTATCATGCACAGTACTGCCACATAGTGTCCCTGCTTTCACAGTGGTCCTGGCTTTGCTGGGGTTTGCCGGGCTGCCATGGCTGTGTATATAAGTGTTCCTGGCAGCCAGGTCGAGGTCTGGTGGTGTCTGCACGGGTCTCTTGTTCACTGAGTGCACAGGCAACAGCCTGTTGGTCACAGTGGCCCTCTCTCCCCATCCTGGTTGGCCGGAGGCCAGGCATGTCACAGCCAGCCGCCATCACAAACCCCAGCTTGTTCTCCTGGTTACTTTAGAACCTGGCGCCGTGTGCCAGTCAAGAGGCCCCAGCTCCCCGTGCCGGATGCAGGTCTGCGAACCTCTGGGTTGCTGCTGGCCTGGCCCGCCCCAATTGTGGTAGTTTGCTGTACTTGAATTGTTCCACAAAACATCGCCACAGCCAGGAACAGTGTGGAAAGTCCTGGAGGAGCAAGCTGGCACCAACAAGTGAGGGCCTGGGGGGCAGTAGCAAAGGGCAGCCAAGTCCTCTGTGCATTTGCCTTCCACCACTGGCTCTGTGTCCCCTACCCCACATCCCAGCCTGGGAGCCGGCCACCCCTGCCTGCCGTGCTCAGCCACTGTCCAGCCCTCTTCCAACCCCATGCCAAGGCGAGCAGAGGTTGGGCTGCTCTGTGACAGGTTTAGCACGCATCAGGGCAGGCGGGGAGGCAGGAAGGGGCGGCGGGTGCAGCTTGATGGTTGCTCTCTGCCCTCTTCATCTCCTAAAGGTGCTGCTGTTTGGTTCGGCCCAGAGATGGGATGCCAAGCCTCCTCAGGGAGCACCGCAGATGCAAAGGCCTCGCTGAGCCACTGCCGTGAGGGCAAGTGAGCAAGCTGCCAGAGGATGTCCACGACCACAGCGGTTGCCCCTGCGGGGATCCCGGCCGCCCCGGGCCCTGTGAACCCACCCCCACCCGAGGTCTCCAACCCCAGCAAGCCAGGCCGCAAGACCAACCAGCTGCAGTACATGCAGAACGTGGTGGTGAAGACGCTGTGGAAGCACCAGTTCGCCTGGCCCTTCTACCAGCCCGTGGACGCCATCAAGCTGAACCTGCCTGTGAGCTGCCCCACGCCCCCACCCTCTGGGCCCCACGCCTAGGCAAAGGCAGCTGCCCACCCACTGTGAAGTTGGGTGACGGCCGTAGCCCCTCCCAATACCCCCCAGAAGCAGGGAAAAAGGGTGGAAGCAGAGGCCCACCCAAGTTTTTATTCCATGGAACTAGGAGCTGTGCATCAGCCTGCCCGTCATGCCCACTGGCAGTCAGATGCCGTGTGTGTATGAAACTAGTGCCTACTTAATTTTGATCTGAACCCGACAGAGAAAACCTTAAGAGTTGAAAGTAGACTAGCACTTGGTGGCTAGAGTTCTAGGCCCAGTTTGATCCCTCCCTCTTTGTGGGTTTCAAATCCCTAGAAGATGGTGGACTCAGTCTCAAGGATCTGCCTGGTGTCAGAGGTGAGAGAAAAATTTGGCAAGTGTTTGGAACTGAGCTGGGCGCCAGTGGTTCATGCCTCTCATCCTAGCTACCCAGGAGGCAGAGATCTGAGGATTAAGGGTCGATGCCAGACAAAGCATCTCCAATTGCTTCTCTCCAATTAACCACCAAATAGCTGGAAGTAAAGCTGTAGCTTAAGTGGTAGAGTGCTAGCTAGCCTTGAGTGAGAAAGCCCAGGGACCATGCTTAGGTCCTGAGTTCAATCCCCAGAATTGTGACCAAAAGAGAGTGTGGAGCTGAGCACTACGCAGACCATGTGCCCGCCCCCTGCCCCCAGGCTCAGGTGACAGCTGACTTGGAGAACCTAGCTATGCCTGATTGCTGTGCTTGGAAGCAATTATACTGCATCAGTCAGTAATACCTCTGAAAAAAAAAATCTCTCTCCTAGGATTATCATAAAATAATAAAAAACCCGATGGATATGGGGACAATTAAGAAGAGACTAGAGAATAACTATTACTGGAGTGCCAGTGAATGTATGCAGGACTTCAACACCATGTTTACAAATTGTTACATTTATAACAAGGTGAGTGTGTGGCCCTGGTGGCCACTGTGGGAACCATTAGGGAACTGGGCAACTTGGTTTCCTGGGTGGCCTGGTCCGTGGTGCCCCATGGGTGGGGTACTCCACAGCAGCTCTGGGGCTCAAAGCGCATTACACACACCCTGGTCTTGCAGCCGCCTCTGCTTGTGGTCCACACTTTCCCAGATGGCCTTGCTTAGATGAGATGGTAAAGAAGGCTGACACGGCCCTTGGGTTTTTGAGATGTGATCCTATCTCAAACGGGATTTTGTCTGAAAAGTGGTGACTTGAGTGAACGAAAGTGACAGAATGAAGGCTGCTTTGTGTTTTGTTTTTTGCTTGGTTGTGGGTCTTACTCAGGCTGGGCGCTGTCCCTCAGCTCTTCAGCTCAACGGGAGGCCTCTACCACTTGAGCCATAGTGCTACTTTCACTTTTCTGGTGGTTCATTGGAGATGAGACTCATGGAGGGGGCTGGGAAGGTGGCTCAGTGGTAGAGCGCTTGCCTTGCATGCATGAGGCCCTGGGTTCGATTCCTTAGCACCACATAAGCTGAAAAAGCCGGAAGTGGCACTGTGGCTCAAGTGGTACTTCAGCTCAAGGCTAGCACTCTACCACTTGAGCCACAGCGCCACTTCCGGCTTTTTTTTTTTTCTTTTTGCTTATGTGGTGCTAAGGAATCGAACCCAGAGCCTCATGCATGCAAGGCAAGCGCTCTACCACTGAGCCACCTTCCCAGCTCCAATACATTTCTTTTTGAACAATGTCACCCCTTCCTTTGCTCTCTCACACTTCTGACTTTATTGATGAGTAATTGGAGCTAAGACTCTCATGGACTTTTCTGCCTATGCTGACTTTGAACTGTGATCCTCCAATCTCAGCCCCAGCAGCTAGGATTACAGGTGTGACACATCAGCACTTGGTTGCCCCAGGTTTCTTAATGCCAGAGCTGGCCTCAGCACCAGAATGTGGGCCTTGGCTTGGCTTCTCTCTCAGGGAGGGGTCTCTGGCTAGAGGACATTTCCCACATTCCAGGAGCAGGGCCCAGGGTGTCTTCGGTCTGGGGGTCACAGTCCTCACAGCTGGATCCGGTGTGACCTGACTGAGCAGGGCTGAGCTCCCTGTCTTTGTCTTGAAGGTACGCAGCAAGTGGCGGCCGTGTCCGCAGTCTCTCCAGCAGCCCCCTTCCAGAACATGCCCCCCACCGTCTCCCAGACGCCCGCCATTGCTGCCACCCCTGTACCGACCATCACTGCAAATGTCACGTCCGTCCCTGTCCCCCCGGCCGCTGCACCACCTCCTCCCGCAACACCCATCGTGCCCGTGGTCCCTCCCACACCGCCTGTGGTCAAGGTGAGCGTTCCTGAGGCCACGGAGGCCATGTGGCGAGGTTGGCTCAGGGGTCCAAGCCCCGAGGGCTCTTGCGGCCAGGGCAGGATTGGGCGGGGGAGTGGGGAAGCTTGCCCTCTTCTGAATGCTGGCTGTGTAGAAAGGTTCTTTCTGACAGGAGACCGAGGCTCGGGCTGGGAGTCACACCGCTGGTGCTGGCCAGGCCGAACTCTTCCTAGATCCGCAGGCCTAGCAGCCTTGGCCTTTGCAGGCCACTGGCCAGGGTGGGGAAGGCATGGGTGAGCAGTGGGGAGAGCGGAGGCCGGCGTCCACCTGCCCGTGGGTTCAGGGCCTGCACGTCTGTTCCTGCTTGTGGGAGCTTTGCACCCAGGGCGCTGTCCCGTCCTGGCTAGGCCTGACTCAGGCCCAGCGCAGAGTGGGGGCTCCCTGTAAGTTCCGGGGCTAGCAAGTCCCTGGCGTCGGGCAGGGCCCATGCCAGGCACTCACGCGTGTTATCTTCTTCAATTTGATCCTCACAGCAACCCTCTGGGGCAGGCAGTAGTCCCCCCTCTTACAGATGAGGAAGCGGGCGCTCAGGGGTTAAATGGCTCTCCCAAGGTAAAATGCCACCTCCGTTGCTCTCCCTTCCCCGGGCGGTGCCTGTCCAGCCGGCCTCCCACAGTGCACAGCATGTCCCGTCTGCCACGGCCGGATGAGTCTGCCCGCCCCTCCCCGCCTCAGGCCCTCTGCAGCTCGTGCTTGGTGCTTGGCATCCTGTGGGTGCCTGTTAAGTGTCTGTGGTAGCCAGCTCGTGCCCCTGCCAACCTGAGGGCAGCAGCTTGGCTGGGGCAGTGACTGTGGGGCTGTTAACGGCAGGTGCCGGGGCAGCTGTCTGTCCCCCAGCCTGGGAGCTCGTGGTTCCTGTTAGCGTCTCTGTCCACCCCAGCTGAGCGCGTCTCAGGGTGCTCACTGAGCTCGGCTCCTGACTCACTGGTGACTTCCGGGTGCTCTGGGCCCTTGCAGGCTTGGGGAGAGACCCACACCCCCATAGACATGACATTAGTACACACCCCGTTGGCAGAGGCCATGTGAGTGCCGCTGGGGCTGCTCTGCCCAGTGACTCCATGGAGGGCCCTGGAGCGCCTGGTGCCTTCCGCACAGTCCAGCTGTGCCCACTCCAGCAGCCCCCGCAGTCCTCAGCTCAAACCCACGGTGGCTGCTTCACGGCTCTGGTCAGGCTGCCCCCACCCGTCTAGCCCGGAATGCTCTTCTTTCCTTCCTTCCTTCCTTCCTTCCTTCCTTCCTTCCTTCCTTCCTTCCTTCCTTCCTTCCTTCCTTCCTTCCTTCCTCCTTCCTTCCATCCTCGTCCTGCTCGACTTGTGTCCATCATCGAAGCGCCAGCTCAGGGCCTCCCCTGGCACTTTGCTGCTGGTCTTCTTATGCAGGGAGTCCTCCATGTCGTCCATCCCTAGGGCCTGCCTGGCCTGGTGTGCCTGCAAGGTGTCGGGGGGGGGGTGTGCGCAGCGCCTCACGGTGCCCAGGGTGCCCACTTGGACATCCAGGCCCTCAGGGTAGAGGGAGAGAGAGTTTGTCCTCAGTCCCCACCTTAGGCTGGCGGCCCGGCTCCTCTGAGCCCTGAAGCAGGACTGTGCATGTGGTCGCTCGCTCCCTCGCTGGACCCTGGCAGGCACTGTGTCCTCCAGAAGCTCAGCTGCGGCCAGATGCTCCTGTGAGATGAGCTCCTCATTTCTGGCATTCACTGGTTCCTTTGCTGTCACAGAAAAAGGGCGTGAAGCGGAAAGCTGACACGACCACACCCACCACGTCGGCCATCACCGCCAGCCGGAGTGAGTCCCCCCCGACACTGACGGAGCCCAAGCAGGCCAAGGTGGTGGTCCGACGGGAGAGCGGGGGCCGCCCCATCAAGCCTCCAAAGAAGGACCTGGAGGATGGGGAGGTGCCCCAGCACGCAGGCAAGAAGGGCAAGCTGTCGGAGCACCTGCGGCACTGTGACAGCATCCTCAGGGAGATGCTGTCCAAGAAGCACGCGGCCTACGCCTGGCCCTTCTACAAGCCGGTGGACGCCGAGGCGCTGGAGCTGCACGACTACCATGACATCATCAAACACCCCATGGACCTCAGCACCGTCAAAGTACGTGGCAGGCGGCAGCCCTTCTGAGCCGTGGACGCCACGGCCCCGCGTGGCCTTGCTGCTGGATCTGTGCTGCGTGAGCGGCCACCTTGAGAGCTGGGCCTGCCCAACTCGGAACTCTGCTCCTGCTGCCCAGAGCCCAGCAGCTGCCCTGCCTGGTCAGGCAGGAAGGCCTGCCTCGGCTCCCTGGGGCTGCAGCTTAGGCCTGGCTTGCCCCAGCTGGGCCTCATTCAGTGGTTTTGCCCCTCCTTTTGAATCACCAGCCCGGGGGTTCTTAGCCATGACCACTGTCGTGGCTGCCACAAGGTGCAGAGCTGCACACTGCTTCCTCAAGTCCCAGGAGAAGGTGCCCCATAGCAAAGAGCAGGTGGGAGGCAGGGACGGGCGGGCCTGACTCTGCTTCTGGCTGCCTCTGAGCCCACATCCCACCAGACGGAAAGGAGAGGGGCAGACGAAGGCACAGCAGTGGAACCATGAACCCACACCTCCCCGTGTCCACACCAGGTCTTCAGAGGTTTGTGTTCGGCCAGGTCAGTGTCAGGCAAATCTTAAACAGAGCGGGCTGGGTCCAGCTTTGCTGCAGGAAGCATCTGGAAGCAGTGGTCGCCCCGGGCTGGGCCACCCCGCTTTCCCGGAGGGCGCTTGAGTTGGCCTGCAGGAGTGGCCAGCACTTGTCCAGGCATGCCACCTCTGAGCCTGGAAGGACGGCCCTGCATGGGAACCGCGTGGTGGTTTTCACCCGTGCAGTCTGGGCCTGCGCAGTGCAGGTGTCTGCCAGCAGCGCTGAGGCAGAATGGGAAGCCTATTGGGCGCCAGCAGCCTGGTCACCCAGGTGGCATGCCTAGTGCTCAGTTGGGTAGAGAGAGGAGCTGGGCATCCAGCAAGGCTACCCTGGGAAGAGAGAGCCCAGAAACTTCTAGAAGCCTTTCTGTAGCTGGCCTGGCCTAGTATGTGCGTCTCCACTGCAGTGCAGGCCTGGAGCTCCAAAGCGTGGCTGGGAACTCTGGCCTTGGGCTCAGGTCAGGTCCATCCGGTCAGAATCTGGTTTCCATGAGAGCAGCCCACTCGCGAGCCTCGGTGTGCTCTCTTCGGCCTTTTTGTGTCCTCAGGGTGTGGGGAGAAGCAGGGTGCTCCAGGACTTGCTCATGGTCAAGCCGGACCACATCCGATTATGCGCAGGGCTCAGCAGGGAGGGGCACAGGGGGGGGGGGCCTGAGTTTCTGAAACATTGCAGTGAGGTAAAGGCAGATGTGGGTGGTGTGCTGGAGATTTTTTTGTTTTGTTTTGTTTTGGGTCCGGTCGTGGGGCCTGAACTCTGGGCCTGGG